TAAGGTTGTAAAATAAAACTGATTTGCTATAGAAAAGCTAAATTTTAAGCATTAATTGTTATTTAATACATGTACAACTGATAATAATCCTTTTGAATACTAATAACTTTATTAATTTTAACAATGACTTGCAATAATATCTACACTCGAATGAAATGTATTGCGGGTAAGCTACCTATTCGTGACAATTTACAAGTGCTCTAAAATGTGAATTAGCTACAGCTTTATGGAAATTAAGCAAAATAATGTAGCAAAGCTAACTATACTATATTAAGTATGATTTTCAACTTAATTAAAACTGTGAAAAATGCTAATCACAAGTAACAAGTACCTAATGACTAATGACTGCAAATTGCACGAACACAATACTATGGTAGATAAAATTATAAAAAATGATACTGGCCTTTTATTCAAGACGACGACCTTATCTTATACTACCTGAGTGTTGGGTGACGATATTATTTAAATTAAATGCTTTACACCGCTAAATCACTGCTTGAGTTTAGTCCAATCCAAAATTGCGATCCGCTGGATCCTTATTGCTCGATATCCAATATCCTCTGTTTATATGCGCTGATCTTCTGTATATAAGGTATCCGGCTCGAAGGACCATGTATTGGCCAGGGCTTCGCAGGAAAAGACTCAAAGAATACTCAGCAAGTAGAAATTTAATGAGGTGTTAACTCAGCGAGTACAGCACAGCAAGTGAAGAGATTAGCGTCGGTACATACAAAATAAAATAATACAAATACTTAATTGCTAACATTATACTAAGCACACGTCATTGCTATGGTATATCCATCAGGCGCTCGTACAGTACCAAATTTTATCCCGATCCCTTTAGCCATTTTACCGTGTTTGAGTAATAGATACCTATACACACGAATTCAAACAATTTCGTATTTATAATTAGTAATATTAAAGAATTGTAGGTACATGTCTACTAACTAACTATTACTAACACTTTGACTGGATTTTAGTGTTACATTGTTCTCGCACAATCCAAACAGCAAAACTATGTAACTAGAGAATTGTATTGTGAACATGATTGAAAAAGAGTAACCTATGGAGTTTCTTGCTCGTTCTTCTCCATAGGAATCTACACCTTGGAATGAGCAAATAGCTTCACTTTTAATGTTTTTTGTTAACGTTCAAAAGTGTCTTTCTGGTCTAATTGAAATAAATGATTTTGACTTTGACTTTGACTTAAGAAATTAACAAAAAGATATACAGTGGCTATTTCTGAAACATAGGTAAGTTTTTATTTACATTAGCCTTAGCGTAGGCAACCTAAGCCCCTGAGCCGAAACTAAATCGGGTCTCACACACTGGTAAGGTTCCATGAAGTAAGTGTCGAGGTTTGTTATTAGCAATTTATATTTCCACTAACTGTTGCCTGCGACTTCGTTCGCGTAGAATAATGACTACTGGCAGAATTCATCAGAATCGATTCAGTGCATAAATGAGGTTTATTGTGAAATGAATATATCGTGGTTTCAAAAAATTAATTAGTAATCCCGCAGGGTTTTTACTAGTACAGCGCCAGTTTCTTAATGTGTTAGTGATAAAAATAAATTATTCTATCGACTATTGTTGTACCGAATTTCTCTAAAATAAGTTCAGTGGTTAAGAGATAGAGTCCCGGGGCTTTAACGCATTGTTCCCGTTCCCGTGGAACTTCTGTATCTGGTAAAAATTATCATGCATACATCATGTTCCAGGTCTCAAATTATCGTTTTTCCGAAACAAGTAAATTTATTTCTGCAAATAGGCTACAAGGCAGCACTTTTACACGTCAATTTTATCGAGCGAACGATGAGGCAGACATTTCCTAACTGACTACTCTGAGAAGAAATGCCGAAACAAACTCAGAGGTGTATGAATGTAACTCAAAAAGATTCAATGATTCTAGATTCAATAGATTCAATGGCTAAGAAGATTTATCACAACTTTCATCCCCTATTTGGTTCCTTTGGGGATAGAATTCATCAAAATCTATTCTTAGAGGATGCTTGCTTCATAACATCTACCTGGATGCCGAAATTCAAACCCATTCAGTTTGAAAATGTGACAAAGTTGCATGCACACTTTCATCCCCTATTTTACGTCCTGGGGGGAGGAAATTATCAAAATCCTTTCTTAGGCGATGTTGACGTCATAACATCTGCTTGCATGCCGAATTTCAACCCGATCAGTGTACAACTGACAAAGTTTCATACAAACTTTCATCCCCTATTTTACCCCCTTGGGGGTGAAAATGATCAAAATTCTTTCTTAGAAGTTGCTTACGCCGTAATATCTACCTGCATGCCCAACTTCAACTCGATCGGTGTAAAACTGACAAAGTTTCATACAAACTTTCTCCCCCTATTTTTCCCCCTTGGGGGTGAAAATGATCAAAATCCTTTCACAACGGATGCCTACGTCATAACATCTATCTGCATGCCGAATTTCAACCCGATCGGTTTAAAATTGACAAAGTTTCATACAAACTTTCATTCCCTTTTTTACCCCCTTAGGGGTAGAAATTATCAAAATCCTTAGCGGATGCCTACGTCATAACATCTATCTGTATGCCAAATTTTAGCTCAATCCGTCCAGCGGTTTGGGCTGTGCGTTGATAGATCACTATGTCAGTCAGTCACCTTTGAATTATATACATATATAAAGATAAAGATTATAGATTACAAGATACAGATTGTTTTTCTTTTCTAAAATATGACTAAAATAATAAAACCCACGTATTGATGTCCGTCAAATTGATAACACTGTCAACACTCAAAAATAATTTAGGGGAATTCCCTTTTTATAGTGACTTTCGAATTTATCTGAAACTGATTTGCCATGATTATAGACATGTTGCCACCTGTAATATTTATTTTAAAATGGGAGGAATTTTGTAAATGGTAGGGTTTATCAAAAGTTGAATTCTATTGAGATGTCCTGGTAAGGATTCGAGGGTCCCCTGAGTTTGAGGGCCCTGAGGCACTGCCCCGCCTAACCCCTTAGTAGCTACATTACTAAGTAAAATTTACCTACAGCCAATTTCTATAACTTATTTATCTGTACATCTGTTTTTGATCCGTTTGGGGTCGAAACGCTTGGGCCTTGGGGTCCCAGGGCACATTCAGTTTATAAAACAATAGCCTGTAAGCTAATCGATTCTACCTATTCGTGACTAGAGGGCTGACTATTTCTTCGGACAGAAAATAAGCATTGCCATTCAACGTGGCAATGGTGCCAGTCTTTTGGACACGTTCGTGATGCAGACGAATTCTTTGACGCCCAACTGACGGAATTTTGTTTTTTCTTTTATCTTTTTTTTGATTAGCTGTGTTTTAGTTAATTTGTATATATTTGTTCATAATATCATGTTAATTAAGTGTATGATTAAATAACTAATTCCGACAAAAGTATTGAATTTGACTAGTAGGGAACTAGCTTATGTTGACATATTTTTATTTTATACAATTATTATAATTATTATTTATCTTATAATATTTATCTGATTGTTATGTGCCCTGCCTATACCAAATCCATTGAATAGCGATATGATAGCCATTGACGCACAAACCGACACATTAACGGAATATTGCAACACCTAATATGCTGAGTCGACTCCTCGTGTCGACGCCTCGTGACTTACTTCCACAGTCCTGATGTTGCATCTGTATTTTACGTAGAATTAATTCAGACTATAATATGTATTAATAAAATAATTCACTTTGGTACTAGCATCGTCCAAGTCTACACATAAAACTATTGTAATCTTTAAATTAATTAAACTTTTATCTTTAAAAGTTTCGATTATTTCAAAGTCCTCCGGCTGTCACCTACATAATTTGATAAAATAACTTTTTTATTATTTATTTATTAGCAACACAGTAGGTAATTAGGTTTACCGAATTGGCAACACTGCTCAGACAAAAAAAAAGTTGGACGACCTTGAATTGAGAACGCGAAGTAAACATAACCAATAATAGAACTGCAATATTTTGATAAAAATAATTACAATTCCTGGCTGTGATATATCGCTGTTCTGAAGAACTTCAGTTAATTTAATGAATTTATTATTAAATCTGCGAAAATGTGACGTGGAAGTATACTTCAAGATGAAATAATTCGGTGAGTAACAGGCTTATCAGTGCATACTATACATAGTTGTTACAAATTGTAATTAGTGAGTGTTATTGATTCCTCTACTCACTTCAGCCCGCGGCTTCGCCCGCGTTCCTGTGAGATAAAACCTAGCCTATATGTCATACCAGACCACCATTTACCTCTGTTCCATCCCTTCAGATGTTTTGACATAAGTTTTTAGTAACATTAGACTTTGACTAATTTACGATGGACGTCACTGTCAAATTATGCCTTTTTATATTTATAAATTATTTTGTGGTTGCAGATGTTTTATTATTACTTTATGTATATAGTATATAGCATATAGCAATGGGCTAGTGCTCAAAATCAGCGCCGCGACTCGAGCTGGCGCGCTCGGGTCACGGCATTTTAACTGAGCACTGGCCTTTTTGCGCCGTTCTTTTTATTTATATTTTTTACTATGTTTCGTGTTTTTTGTTTTTTTTTTTTTTTTTGTAACGATGCAAATATTTTTTTTTCTTTCTTTCTTTTTTTCTTTCATCTCATTAATATTGAAATACGTTTGTCTGTGATTCTGTGTATTTTTGTTACTAAATCACATTGAAACGGCAGAAGAGGTAGGCAGAGGTGCATATTTACGGCGTTTAATGCCTCTATACAATGTTACACCCACTTTTTACTATTTATGTTATGAGTTCCACGTAATAGGGAGTGAGCCTATTGCCATATACCGGGCACAATTCCAGACTCCGTGCTACTACTACTGAGATCTTTTTTAACCAAATAGTATTTTTCCCTACCTGGGAATCGAACTCGAGACCCCTTGCCCAGCAGTCGCACTCGGCCAACGAGGCAGTCTGTGATGGCCTTAATCAATAACCATTGGTTTGACATTCAATATGGCCGGTCTCCTAACAATACTTTTGTTTGCAGAACTCGAATGGACTGGACATCGGGGAAATGAAAAAGTATTGATTACTTTAAACTTCATTTGTGTCAACTGTTGCTGACTCTGAGGCTATACGACGTCCAGGACAGGTAGTACTGGATCATCGTCATCACCAGCACCACCTCATCACGAGCACTGCTGAACTAAACCCTGTTTGACTACGCTACGCCTGACTGACGACTCAGGGATTGCAGTCAGGTCAACTGTTGTCCACCCCTCGGTGGCTGGTAGCAGGTTTTCAGGCATGAAGACATAAAAGCTGGTATTGCTAAAAAGAATAGGAAATCTGCCGAAATGTATAAGAAACGAGAAGGAACGTCCGGCATTAAAGGCCAGCTGTACGAAACAAAACTAATAAGCCTTATTAACTTCAGAGCAAAATTCGACAACAGCCTCAAAGATTGTTATTTAGCGACCAACATGGCAGACATAGGAACATTTGACGATATATGCTTTAGAGCTAAAGCGAAAATTGGGAACAGTAATAAACAAATCGCCATTTTTGTTCAAGCGAAACACAGAGAAACAGATAAAACAGTTTTGTCGCTAAACAGCAAAAACGACTTAGCTAAATGGTTCGCCAGCTACCTAACCATCAGACGTTCCTTCAAACAAAACAATAAAGACGTCTTTTTTAAGGGAAATTTTCAAGACATTGATACTTATTTCATTATGTATACGACAGCTAGAGATGATCATGATAATGTACGATTTGATAAAGAAGTTGCTCATAAACTCAACAGTTTAATAGCTACAGGAAATGATGCCGTCCAGCCGAATCACAAAGAATCACATGTGGAGTTTCTATGCGAAATAATCATGAAGGAACAGCTAGTCGAGCTGGCTATTTTACTAGCAGAATTTGTTAATAAAAACGACAATACTGTACTGTCAATCAACAACGATTTGATACTGATTTACCACGTGATTCTGGCGAAAAACTTCTTACTTATAGGTGAAATTCGAGATAAAAACGAAAACAGTGAACACAGAATCGCTCGTTTCCGTAGTGAATTTTACGAAAGCGATGATGAATTTATTAAATTATTCCGAGACACGCTTTATATGGATATTTTAAAGAAAAGGCAACTTGATGATGTTGCAAGGAATGAATTGCTAGCAAAACTATTTGTGAAACCTTTTGATGTTCAAATATTAGCAAAACTTATATGCAGTGTTGTAACTCTAAACAACAGTAATGGAAAACTAGAATTTGTTGACAAATCTATGGGTGAAGATTTAAGACATAAATTAGAAAAAGTAAATGTTCTTCGGGCGAATGTACACGAAGCCATGTGTATAGCTGCGGAAGAAATCCTGAGACCGAAGGAAATTAAAGTCCCAGTGGCATTCGGTAATAAAGATCTCACAGTAAGAGGGAATGAAGATAATAATGAAGATTGGACAGCTGACAGCATCCTTGTGAAAGTAAAAAACAAAATGGTGGAAATGTTATTGAAATCTGCACCGGGACATATAGTCACAATAGACAAAACAGTGGAAAAACAATTTTCGAAAATCAACATCGATTTAGCCAGTATAGTGGGAAATATTTTAATAGCAGACCAAAACTGTAAATACCTGAAATTCTCAGACAATACCGAAACACTAGGTGACATTGCGAAACAGCTGTTTTCTGAACTACAATCCGCATTACCAAATTTACAAGATTTCAAATTTAATCTAAAAGTTGATACGTTTCCAGTGGTTTCTTTTGAGAAGATATATTCAATAGAAGATGACATTTCAGCTCTCGCGACAACTATTGCAATATTTCTGAATAAAAACACTGATTCAGTAATGCAAACGACAGATAATATCTTACGACGATACCACGTGGCTCTAGCACATAAAGTATTGGACATTTCTGAGATTATTGGTGAGGATGACGATGCGTACAGACTAGCGATATTCCGACAAGAATTCTTTGAGTCAGAAGAAGATTCCCTCGTCTTGTTCAAAAGACATTTGTATCCAGAAGTATTGAAAGGCAGGAATTTAAATGAAAATGAAGTTGAAGACTCATTGGCAATGTTTTTCAATGATCCATGTGATAAGACTGCGCTAGGAAAATTAATTAATACAGTTATAATGTATGCGAATGGAAAATTTCAATTCATTCACAGTAATGCACCAGATGATAAAAAACAACTATTAGATAGAATAGAACTGCCTCTATCGGTAGTAGACGATGCTATAAATCTAACTGCAAAGGCAATACTATTGAAACGAGAGTTTAAAGTCTCCACCGCTTTCGGAAACAAAGACATTAAACTTAAAAAAAGTAAAGCAGAAAAAAGATTAGATCATTTGAAAATGAAACTATGTGAACTGATGAGTAAATCAAGTGACGATAAAGTTGTTACTATTGATGAGTCTCTGGGAGAAGGTTTTCTAAAGCTCAGTGGAGGTATAGCAGGCATTGTCGGGAATATTTTTGTTCTAGATGAAGATACGCACCTTTATAAATTCACAGACAATTGGGAATCATTAGAAGACACTTCTAAAAGGCTGTTCACAAAACTGAAGAGGACAACTCCCAATTTACATGAATATAGATTCAACATAAACGTCAAAAGATTCCCGAAGCTCTCGTTCAAAAGAAATAAAGACGATGAAAATTTGGCGAAAGATTTCTTGAACAGACTTCTGTTTTACACAAACCAAGCTGACGAGAAAGGCGTCGAGAAATGTTTAAAAGACGAAATTGAAGATCACCAATGTCTGAACGTTGACAGTATCAAAGTGACGGCCGACGCCATTTTTTTACAATACCACGATCAAATACAACAATGGTGGATGTTAAAGGAGGCGGAATATCTTACGAAAAAGAGCTCGCATTACGAAGAAGCCTTGAGGTTGATTGTTGACAAACCTCTTTTGTCAATAATTAGTAAAATGTACACAATGAAATTGGGAAATATTTTCGAAATAACTTTCAACGACCACGCAGTGAAATCATTGAATCTAACAGAAACATTGACAAACGTCATTTACGTAACGGAAAATATTCATTTGACAGTAGTAAAACTGATGCAGTCTTTAAATAAATTCGAACACACTGTCATGGATTTAGAAGATCTACTTCTAACGAAAGACTACTCGACACTTATAAAAGAACTAACAAAAATGGAACAAAATAAAATTATAATACTAGCGTGTGACAACATACAAAGAAGCTCAATGAAAAGGTTAGAAAATATTTCGAATATTTTGAATGAAAAACGGATAATTATCGTCACAAACACGGCTTTGCTAGACACGGTTCAGACATATTTTTCAGTTATAAAAGAAATAAAAAACGACAGATGTAGCCTTACCGACCTGAGTGAGAAGTCACAGAAAACTGTATTACAAGCAAAAGTAAATTTCCAAGATGTCGAAGTGACATTAGACACAGTTGTTGATGAGCAATCGATGCAAACCGTCGAAGGAGTTGTTTTGAATGACTTTATTAATAATGAAACAAGACGTTTTAGTAACTCTGTTACAAATCTAAATTATGAGAAAGTTAAACACCTTTACGTGGATAGAAGAGTTTGTAAACTGCTCCCGTATCAACCGCTTAACTACGTTCCAAAAGTTGGGTCAGAGACCAAATATTTTGTTCATAAAGAAAACGTAGAATTTTCCAATCTGAATGATTTGTCTAATGTAGTACTATTGTCAGCAAAGCCAGGTATGGGAAAATCAACTTTATTGACCCACTTGTCTATTAAAACTAAAGAGACAAACCCAAAAGTTTGGATAGTGCGAGTCAATTTGCTGGATCATTGTGAAAAGTTCAATAAATGGCAAGAAAACAAAGTGAAAATTGATATTATAGAAACTCTGAAGTTTTTATGTCCTATTATTGTCGGAGAGAACAAAAAGAGTGACTTAGAATTCGATTTAGAGGAATCGAATGGTGCTGTACATCTAAAATCATGTCGTACAGACAATCCATGGACGGTGTTCGAAATAAAAATGTTCCTAGACTATTTCAGTAGAAAGCAAGTTATCTTTTTATTCGATGGTTTCGATGAGATATGTCCGCTCTATACAGAAGAAGTGCTGCACTTATTGAAAGTTGTACGGAATCACACAAATAAACATAAAATGTGGATCACGAGTCGGTCTTACGACAAGGTCATGGCAGGTTTGGAACAAGAATTCGGGAAACCATACGACGTGGAAGGCTTTAACGAGATCGAGCTTGATGAATATTTGTGGAAGTATTGGCAATCGACTATTATATTGAGGAATTTGAACAAACAACAATGCAACAATTTGTGTAGTTTTATGGAATTTATGTCGAAACATTACTATAAATCGAGTAGGACAAGACCGACCACGGCCGTTGCTCAAAAAAGGGAAATATATCAAGTCTTATTTATGAAAGTTTGTTACAATTTTGTACACTATCTGAGGAAAGAACTCAACGTCTGTCCCGAAGATGTGATTCAAACATTTAATTTATTTTTCCACAACTGTACATATTCTGTACATTTTGTGCAAACTTTTGATACACCTTTACATCTTTACCTTTTCGCCGATTACTTCCAAAACCTAATCAATGACGAAAGTATAATACCAAACAGATGGAACTTGGACATAAACGCTTTTACAGTTTACGACAAATTTATTGAAATGAAACTTAAAAACATAAGATTTCAAGAGAAAAACAAAATCGATTTACACAATCCCGACAATTTGACAATTTATGAGAAAATTCGAGAGGACTTCTTCGTGAAACATTACAAACTAGGTGCTTATGCTATTTTTAATCAAGACCTCGACAAAATATTTGACGATAAAGAATTATCTGAAATTAGAAAAACTATAGAAAATATTAAAATTGGCACGGAAAAGACTGGATTGGTACATAGCATCATTAACAATATACCAACATTTATACATAGGACTTTCACAGAATATTTCGCAGTTGAATATATTTGTCAATTATTGAAATTGGCTTCTGGAATAGAAAATCAAAGAAACATTTGGGACTTCATTTTAAACGTCGTATTTTTAAAATGCGACAAAAACGTACGCCAAATTTTTGGCTACAGATTAAAAACAGACAATGTGTTAAAAGCTACAGTATATGGGCATGAAGAAATAATTTTTGATTTGTTATTGGAACAGGGGACGGGAGTTTTCGCTTACAATCCTGACGATTTCAGCAAAGAATTATATTTGAAAGTAAAAATTCATTTACATTGGGCCATGAAGGATGAACTCACAAACTTCGTCTCAACAATTAGTAATCTAAAAGAAAAAATGTCAGAAGACTACATAAAGGATTACACAAAAGGGACGTTAAAAATAAAGAGATTGAAGTTTTTGCATTTAGTAAAAGTGAAGCGACAAGCTCTTCTCGGTGTAACAGTGAGTCCAAATCACTGGTTCGCCAGACAAAATCTTCCATGGACTATAGCGGATCCCGAAATCTCCCAACATGTTAAAATATTGGACAAACATCGACTGAATGTTATGACTGACTCATAATATAAATAGTTGTGCTTGACTCAAAATAGAAACGGTCTTTAGAAACGCCGAAACAAGAAATATCGAACTGGAGAATGACCTTACTCGCCGATGTCGATCTCAGTCTAGTCACAGATTGAAATTAAAGACATTTAAAATGAAAAAAAAATGTTTTTATTGTATTAAAAAATAATACGCAGGGTACCTTGAGACGAGGTGACTGACGGGCATCAGCGACCCCGCGGCTACCATCCTCCCAAGTGCTCCAGGGAGAAGTCACCATTCCTTTTCTCTGGCTTACCTTAATTGGCTGGCTGGAGTGAACGATGACGAGGAACAGGTCTCCCACCTCTGGCTTGCCTTCATTGGCTGTCCAGAGTGGAGTCGCGAGAGCAGTGGTAAGAAACTATTCGTAAGTCGTGAGTGGGCTAGTGATGCAGGATGCTTCAGCAGGAGGAGATGATCCGAGTAGAAAGCGATGGTACTTTCTTTACCCGTCAGCCACTCACATTTTCGTTGTCCCTCTGTTGCTATACCTAGCAACCATTCCCGGGGCCCGATCGGTGAGTTGTCGAGTCTCCGCCTGCCATTTTTGCGTGTAATAATTGCATTGTTTCGGCAGGTGCCATTGTCACCCCATAGTGCTCAGTTTACAAGTCCACAGAATCCCATCCAAAGCCCTATCCTTTTATCCATTATCTAAAATAGTTTAAATTAACCATTTCGAACTAACCGGGGACTGTCCTTGGGTGCATTTCCATAGTGCATACAGGGATACTCGCCGGTTCGTGTCCCATTACATTTAGATTAAAGTTGTCTAAAGGGCCTCTGCTCAGTTGACTTCGGCCCCTCGTACGCCTCCCAAACGACACATAATAGTGTTAACTAGTACTTAAACTTCCCATTTACAATTGGTAAAACTACGGCACAATGCAGGCGTATCCAATGCCTCATTATGGCGCTGTTCTATTTGTCTGGTATAGTATTCAGGATGACTGACTGACTCATTGGCCGAGTGGTCGCAAGTGCGACTGCCGGGCAAGGGGTCTCGGGTTCGATTCCCGGGTCGGGCAAAGTATTAATGGGTTTATAAAAAACCTCAGTGCAGTAGCACGGAGTCTGGAAATGTGTCCGGTATATGGCAATAGGCTCACCCCCTATTACATGGGACTCATAACATAAATTGTGAAAAGTGGGTGTTACATTGTAGTGGCATAATGTGCACCTCTGCCTATCCCTTCGGGGATTAAAGGCGTGATGTTATGTTATGTTATTCAGGATGCTGGTGGGGCAGACGCGGACCCTTTGCATAATTGAGGCACAACGTTTTCGTATGATGGCGTGAAAACCATCTGCACCTGCCTCTGCGAACATAACAGAAGCATTGCAGCACCGCGGCCACCCCACCAACACACTGAATGCGTTATTATTTACTTAGGTAACTATTTGTATATCAATGAAAGTACCGTCAATCGTTGATTATTTTTTATATTTTTATACTTACAATAAAACGAAATAAATTGTGTACAAGTTAATTGTTTTATTTTTCCTCCTTTACTTTGTTTTAATTAGGAAGAAGATTAAAAGTAATTTCGGATCAAGAAATTTTATGTGAAATCTTTAAAAGATAGAAATTCAAGTGTCTTCTGAGTTTGCACCATTCCTGCCATGTACACTAGGATTTTCTCCTCTGTTGGGTGCGTTTACAAACATATAAGTTCACATACACATCACACCCAGACCCGAAACAACAATTTGTGGATCACACAAAGTGTTATTCCGTTCCAATCAATCCGTTCACTCCGGAATGAATGGACGTGTAAAAACATCTCTGCGAGAAATCTTTAAATTAATTATATATTTTATTCTATTAATTATGCAAAGAGTTATATAAGTGGCTAATTTTAACAAGTATAGTTTTTATTTAACTTGTAAGAGAACAAATAAGTGAAATTAACAATAACAGTGACGACAAGGACTCGCAATCTCAATCATACGAAACAACAACATAACCACCGATAACGAAGTCAACGCAAGGTAGATATTGCCAGCACATAACATAATGTCACAATACATCGATAAAACATGAAATTCTAACTTTAAATCAATAAAAATAACCGTTATCAACGCAAAATTACAATTTGTAACAGTTCACTAAAGTATAGATGAGCGAATGACTCAATGACCAATCACTAACAAAGAAACATGACAAGTCAATTATCGTCCAGAAACTAAACGAACACGCTGAATACTCGTTTTTAATACTGCGTTCCAATATACGTAGCATAGCCTAATAGCAAATAATCATGGACGAATATAATAATATTACGCATCGTAGAATTTATAGAACCAGTTCAATGAATGACATTGCAGTTTCAAGAGATAACTCAGCACTTTTCGATGCTACTATGACGAGTCTACCTAATACTTCATTAAATACAAGTCAAACAGTGATCGACTTGACAGAAAAGGTGAAACAAATATCAGATGATTTATTAATAGCCCATCAGGAAATTGAGAACCTAAACAGTGAAAATTTTAGACTTAAATCCGACCTACAAAAATATTTAAAAATAATTGAAACCTACAAAATGCTAAATAAAACGGAATATAAAAATGCCACACCACAATCCGGAACGAAAAGAAAAAGCAAACAAGATTTACTTAGAACGCCGGCATTATCAACAAAACAAATGACGTCACCCTCAGTAATGCAAGTTACAAATAAGACAAATGAAATGATAGGAATCGAAACTCCGAAAGAAAATTCATATACCCTCGAATTAGAACATAAAACTAAAAGTACCGACAAGTTACAAAATAAAACCGATTCTCAAAAAGAAACAAAGTTGATAGATAATAAAGAACTTATGGCAGACAAGTTGACGACACAGGAATTTAAGGAAAAACCGACATTACATCTGAACAAAGTTGATATTAAAAATTCATCAGGCGCCGCGACGTCACAAAAACAACATAAACTGTGTATAATAAGTACAGGTTGTACAAAAGGAACTTTACCGCTAATTGAAGAAACATTCGCCAGTCATTTTAATTATTGTCACTACATACTGTCAAATGCTAACACAAATAATTTTTTAAGCGATATCAATAACAAATTGAAGTATTTTACAGATAATGATTACTGCTTAATTTTTATTAGCGAAAATGAGATAAAAAAGAGGGACCACATAAATACCCTCGACAGCCTAAAAAACTCGCTCACAAATATTACACACACTAATATAGTAATTTGTGCTCCTACCTACATAAAAGGTGCACTAATTTATAATTATAAAGTTGAACTGTTTAATAACTTACTCTATTTAAACATAAGAAATAACAAATATGCTTACTTTCTCGACAGTAACAGCACACTATCGCATGAAATGTTTTCATACAAATCGGGAAAAATCAATAAGTATGGATGGAGAGATATTTACAGCCAAATAATGGCTAACATAATAATTGATTTTAAATTGTATAACCCTCGATACAAATGCATAAATTGTAAAGTAAATATAACGCAACAGGAATCTTTCATTGATTCTGACATTGTATGTGATAGTCTTTTTCGTGTATGAACATATCTTTGTACTACATCAAAATATAAATGGACTAATAAATAAGTCGGACTTACTAAGTATACATTTGAATAATTTTTTGGAAGAGGGTAGGCCCGTTGATGTTGTATGCATTTCAGAAACAAATATGAAGAGTGATGATTTTATGAATCTACATCTACAAAATTATAAAATTCAATCTTACTACGCACGAGAAGATAGAAATGGGGGTTCATGTATTCTACTAAAAAATACACTCAAGGGTGAGAAAATCGAAATAGATAAATGGTGTATATCGAATATAATTGAAAGTTGCGCTGTTGAACTGCAGACTCATTCTATAGTCATATTATGTATGTATAGACCTCCTAAAAATGATAAAATCTCAATAAATTCATTTCTGAACAATTTAAATATGATTCTTACTGAAATTTGCTTGAAACGTAAAAAAAAAGTTATTTTATGTGGAGACTTTAACATAGACATTTTAAAAGAAAATTATGCTTCCCATAGTTTTCAAAATTTATTAGAAGGTTTTAATCTAACAATAGGAGTCTCCAACCCCACCCGTCTCGGTAGCGGTACATGCATTGATAACATAATTCACAACATTAAGACGAGTAAATGTGACATAATCGAACTAGCATTGTCAGACCACACAGCGCAACTCATGAAATGCCCTATAAATAAAACATGCAAACTCCCATACTGGTATACATTTAGACGTAGTTATTGCAGAGATAATATAATGAAGTTTAGGGAGTGCTTAGGAAATATTGAATTTAATGATGTTTACTCTTGCACAGATGCAAATGACGCATTTAACTCTTTTCATGATACTTTTAAAATGTTTTATGATTTGTGCTTTCCACTTAAAAAATTAAAAAGGTGTACTTTAAATAAACCCAAATGGATTAGTAAAGGAATTATACTGTGCTGCAAACGAAAACGTCAAATGCTATATCAATTTCGGAAAGATCAGAAACACAGTAGTAGAAAACTATTTAAAGTATACTCAAGGCGTCTGAAAACTATTATTCGTCTCACTAAAAAAACTCAAAACAATCACTTTATTAACAATGCCAGTAATAAAAGTAGAGCTACGTGGCAAATTATAAATAAGAGTAAAAATGACAGTCCTATAGAAGGAATAGAAAAACTTAAAATAGCCACCAATGTACTAACTGATCCAAAGAGCATAGCTCAAACGCTGAATGACTATTTTATTGACGAAATTGAATCTCAATCTGACACAAATAAGTTTAATAATTTAGCTTATAAAATTGATATGCATTATGACTCCATGTTCTTGACTCCAACAGTTCCCAATGACATTATAAATTTAATAAAATCATTAAATAATACAAGCAGCTCTGGCTATGATGAGATCATAACAAGTGTAATTAAAAGTGTATCTCCCATTGTCTCACCAGTACTTAGTTATATTATTAATTTGTG